AATTTCTCAAAACTTCTGGAGAAATCTCAATTTTTTTCTCAAAACATCTCTGTAAAACTTTCTGAAAGAGATCTCAAAAACGTCTTTCTGTAAAACTTTCTGAAGGAGATCTCATTAAACTTTCTGTATAACTCTGTGTGGCTAATTTTAACTGTGGGCTCGTGATATGTACTCAAAGGCGCCAATCCAACAGCTCAGGGGAGCGACCCACTAAACATATCGGACTATCTGAAATTGAAAACGGCTAATCTGAGGGAACTTGTTCCCGAGTACATATCACCTTATCGTTCACTTTAAATATTAGTTCTTTTTATGGTGACGTTTGATTAAAAAAAACATCATCAAACCTGAAAATAAAAGTACTAACAAACTCTTGACTATGCCAGATAATAATCACAACTTAATACAACAAATAACATACCTCATCACAGAATTCACCTAGTTCACATAATAGCAAATCGTCTAAAATTATCTATAAAAAATCAACCAGACTTCTTTCTTTCATTTGGTTGAACAAACATGTACAGGTTGTAGTGAACTTACCTGATAGAAGCTGAACTCAAACTACTAAGGGAGTGTTTGCAACTGCTTCTGCTTAAAAAAAAGCACTTTTGGAGATGTAAGGAAAAAGTGATTAGTAGTAAAAGTTGATAGTGTTTGAGAAAAAAGTGATTTTGAAAAGTAAAAGTTGGTAGTGTTTGGTAAAATAAGTGCTTTTTGTGTAATAGAAAAGGGAAAAACATTTTTCACACGCAAGCCGAGAAAAAGTAAAAATTGGTAGTGTTTGGTAAATAAGTGCTTTTTAAAGCCAAAAGCTGAGAAGTGCTTTCTTAAGCAGTTGCAAACACTCCCTAAACAAGTGTGAGATCTTGATAATGTCTTCCGGTAAGCTCTCCCTTAATCATCTTTAATTAAATGTAATAATAATAATTTAATAAGAATTTGATATGCAAAACAGACTAATAGACTTGAGAATAAATGCTACGGCTGCACCCACTACGCCTAAAATTGACATTGTTATGCTGACCAAGTCATATACCCAACCTTCTACTCATCTACTTCTTACTAACAAAGCTCAAGGAACTAGTTACGTACGCTAACTCTTTGATTTGAGAAAAGATCTTATGCTAGAAACAACAAGATATATTCCTACAGTACGTCAATTAAAATTTACCAACACTGAAAACAAATTTTAGAAAAACGCAGAACCAAATTTCAGAAAAAGGTCATACTATAAAACACCTTCTCTCGGCCTATGTTGCACCGATACTTCACCTCGATGCCGTATCCGCGTATCCGATACGTATCCGTATCCGATACTCACCGATACGCGTCCTGTACGTATTGGGTCCGTATCCGTAATTTAATAAAAGTATCGGGCTTAATTTTAAAAATATCGATACTTCCGATACCCGTATCCGTGAACCGATACGCGTATCCAAACCTATAACCCATCATTTGATACACGACATGACGAAAATTCAGTAGCCGCCCAAGTGACCACAACATGTGGAACATTGATAAAGATGGTTTCGGGAGTATGGAAAATAATGGAATATTATAATTTTTCATTTCATTGCTTGATGAGCTTTAATTGAAACAAGACTTAGATGTAAATGCAAATAGAGAACAAAAAAATGTTATTTGAATTTAAATCAAAATATCAACACTTTAGTTTTTGTAGACTAATCTTTGAAACTTTATTATAATAGTTAATTTTTTGTACTATTATTATTTTATTTATGAACCCCTGAATTATATATATTTGCAAATTATACCCTATATTTTTATTATTTATAAATATACCCTCGTACCCGTATCCTATAATTTTTGAAAGTGCCGTATAGCCGTACCCGTATCCGCGTATCCGAGTATCGGCGTATCCGTATCTGTGCAACATAGCTCTCGGCAGTAGAAAATTTTGGAATTTGGTAAGAATAGCATTTAAGTTTGATCAAGAATCCAGTTAGATATCAAAATTAGATCTCAAGTTCACTAAAAGCAAATGAAGAGAAACCCAACCAAACCAATTGACTCAACATAGTGGAGTAACAGCCAAAGAATATAGCTATATATGTATATTGCTTTAACAGCAGCTATTGAAAGTATCAACCAGCCGCCAGAATTTTAACAAAAACAACCGCAAAATACCAGTTTGTCCCTATCCGTATTTTCCAAAGCTCAAATTCAATAGCAGGGATTCGTAATAACCTAAATTTGTGAGGAAATAAAGATTTGAATTGACATGGAGCTACAAAGGTAGCTAAAATCCCACTGATCAAGACCCGCTTCCACGATTAACTCTTTAAGTACTAAAAAAGTCTATGGACTTTTAAATCCATAGACTTCTAAAAAAGTCTATGGACTTTCAATATGGATTGTGGTGAACTTTTTTTTAATCCACGAACTTCTAAAAAAGTCTATGGACTTTTAAATCCATAGACTTTTAATCCGCCGACTTTTAAATCTGTAGACTTTTAAATCCGTGGACTTTTAAAATAAATGACTTTAAATGAGTGACTTCTATAGATTTCAATAAATCCATAGACTTTTACTTGGACTTATTTCAGACCAGATCCAACTAGATCAGACTTTAACAAAGCAAATCAGACTTTAATAAATAAGAATCGCTACATAGAAAATATGACAAATAATGTCAAATATAATAGCTAATGTTCTATATTCCGAATGAGGTCAAGCATAAGCATAAAAAAATTATAAGAAAAAAAAAATAAAGTCATCAATGCACAAAATGGGAACAAACATCTTGTGCTACTGAACTATGGATCAAAATTATTCATTTTCTGCAGCTTTCCACATTTGAGTAGCAAGATTCATCCTCCATTCCTTGGCCTTTTCCCTTTGTTGATCTTGTGTCTGAAAATTATCCCATTCAAGATTGTCCTCATCATCGCTAGGTGGGTCTTCTTCTGGGTCCGGAGGAAATTCGTCAGATCGACATTCTCGTCGAAGAAAATTATGTACTCCTGCACATGCCAAAACTAATTCTGCTTGTGTTTTATAAGAGAAATGAGGTGCTGTTTTGAAGATTGTGAAGCGTGACTTGAATATTCCAAATATACGTTCAATCACATTCCTTAAAGAAGCATGACGAAGATTGAATAGTTCAACCGCATTAACAGGGTGATTTCCTTCACCACCAAAATCCTTTAGATGATACCGAGTACCTCGAAATGGAGCTACAAATTGACACCGATTTGCAAATCCACAATCCCCCAAATAATATTTTCCTAGACATTGAATCATTACACAATTAGTCTATTATACAATGCAATAAGTAATTGGTAACAGAGATTTGGATAAACATGTTAAAGTGTACCTGGTGGCACTTTAAGACCATTTAGTCTTGAAATTGCATCATTTAACACTTTTGAGTCATGGGCAGAACCCTCCCAACCACTAAGCACATATATGAATTGCAAATCAAAGTTGCAAGCAGCTAGTACATTTTGAGATATAGTCCCATGACGATTTCGATAGCTGTTCACTTCTCGTCCAGGTACGATTGCTGGAATATGAGTGCCATCCATTGCTCCGTGCTCCGATGCAATCCTAGCATTAGGAAAAGAAGAAATACCAAAAAAATAATTAATCGATCATCATTAATCATGTAAAATTGGTGAAGTGCATTAGGAAAAGAAAAAATACCAAAAAAAAATTAATTAATCGTCCTTAATCATTAATAAAGTCTTGCATTACAGACCTTGAAATGAGGATAAAACCTTGTGCTCTCTCTGATGACATGTGGTACAGATTCCGGTTTGGCCATAAAGTCGGGAGCTATTGTATTCAACGCTTTCAAAACTTTGTTGAAGCTTCTGCTAATGCTGAAGTGTGACCGCTTAAATATCATTCTTGGTTGATAATAGCGGTTATTTTGGCCGATAATAAGTAAAAATGTTGCCACCATTTCTTCAACACAAATATATCTTGTATCTCTTAAAGGCGTTTTGTTTCTTAGGATACAACATAATTTTTGAAAAATGTTAGGATACATTCTGTATACATTTCTAAATGTTTTAGGATCTTCGGCCATTATTTCATCCATATATTTAATCCCATTAGCCGTCACAGGTCGACGAGTCAATGGGCGTGGAATAGGTTCATCATTAATTCTTGAAGCGAGATTGTATATCAAGTAAGTTACTGCTTCTATTGCCATTATCAATATCTTAAGAGTCCCATAAAACTCAACCTCATCTTCATCTGCTCCATACACATCTGTTTCACACATTGCTAAAAGAAGAAAAAAGGCATAAACTTTAAAAAGTGAACTATGATATATTTTATAATAAAAGCATTCTAACGGATAATACATAAAATAGTTCAAATAATCCATATCACTTTGCAATCCAAATAAATTAAATCACTCCAACAAAAGATAAAGTAAATACGCAACCATGGCCTATTTATTATTAGATATCTCTAGAGGACGAATCTAATGAAGCTGTTTAACGATTGACGATCCAGTGATAGCGTTGTTCGGGAGTCATTCTTAAAAAGAAATCTTGCTTCGCTTTCGTATTCAGCAAATCAAGAGCTTTAAAGCAATCCTCGTCTGTTAATCCAAGGGTCTCTTTCATAGCATCCAAAACATCATTGTCCCTTGCTTCTCTCTTCTCCATTAAATAACAAATTTTATCAAAACTCTTAACAATTTTATTAAACCCCATTGACAAGCTCTCAATAACCTCTCCGTGACTATTAGGTTCCTTTGTTCTTCCATTGTTCTCAAAATCATTTCTACCCCTTTTTCCTTTAGCTCTATTGCTTGATGAAGGTGGATCCTCTATATTTCTACCACCATCTTGGGGAAGATATGATGAGTCCTCCTGGTGGGATGATGCATTTTCACTCGGTGTGAACGTGTTAGTATTTGGATCAAAAAATAACCCATCAATGCCACCAATTCCACCCGATTCATCATCTACTCCTAACACTGTAGCATCTGTATTTTCACCAAGACCAATTGCACCCATTCCAGTTGCAGTTCCATTTCCCACTGCGATTCTCAGATCCTCATAGTCCGGACAAGTTTCTGATCGAAGGTGTGCATGTTCTTTATGTGACTGATATATAAAAAATATAAAGTTTGTTATTATAATGTTAAAAAATAGATACACAAATGAATAAAAAATGCCCACCTTCAGGTAGTCAGCCCATACTTCTTCGGAAGCAGTGAATTTCTTTGTGGATGCATCCCATCCGAATCCAGAGTTGTGCCGCATAAGTTGAGAGTAATTGGAGTATTGTTTTTTAAACCATTTGAGTCTACTTTGGTAATGATTAAAACTAATTTCATAACCAAGCTTTTCCTTAAGTTTAGGAAGGAGTCTGGTCTCTACCATTTGTTTACTTATCACACCATTTATATCACGAAGGCCAAGTTTGGCACTTTCAACCATTAGCTGAAGGAAGACATTACTCTCTTCTATGGTCCAAGTTTTATAATCTTTTTTTTTTTGCATTACCTTGTGAATCACCCATCTACAAGACATGTAAAACCAATCACACAAACAATAAAGACAAACTCATACCGTTTGACTTTAGTAATTAGTGGTGTTAGTTAACACATCTTTAAATAAAAACCAATCAGTCCTCTTTATATATATAAAATCTCACACGCCATGATTTTAAAGTAAAAACGAAAACGAAAAATAGATATTGAAAATCGGATGGACTATAATAGGCAGGAATAGAAAAAACATTTTTATATACTCTACGGAATGTCCTTAGCCGAGTTGTGATTGCTTAGGTTGTCCACCAAATAGAGCAGCAACAGTAGTACTCTGTTCATAATTCTTTCTCAAAACAATAATAGGAGTGATCGAATTACTGCTGGATCGTACGTATACTTTGTAAATATAAAGGGGTACAAAAAGCAGATAGAAACCCAAATAACAACAAAATTATAATAGTAATAATAATAATAATAGTAATAAAGGTAAACAAAAAAGCTCAATTGCCATTCCCTGCTTAAGAACAGAGTACTACGCATTTTAGGCTTGTCTGTCGGCTCCCTGCTTTTATTTTTTTTAATTGAAAAAAACATACACAAGAGACCATATCCGAATGGTGGAGGTTGATTTACAGTGCACTAAACATTTAGACCTTGTTCTAAAGTACTCCTACCAACACCAATCACACAACTCCATAGCTTAGGAAGAAGTTGATGATATTAGGGGTGGGAAAAACCGAACCGAAACCCGGAAACCGACCCTGGACCGACCCGAATTATGATCCCGGTCTGGGTTTTTTCTTTTTAACCGGCCCGAATTAAAAATACACGGACGGAACCCGAAATTCCGGGCTCATTAACGGGCCTTAAAATCTATAACCCGGCCCGGACCGAAAAAACCCGAAACAATTAGCTTTAATATAAAATTAATACTATAATATATGAATATAAATTTATAAATATTTCCTAATATATGATTATAATCACGGTGGATAAAAAAATCATTTAGTAACTTTTAGTGACTACAAATATGTTTAATTTGTTTAGCATAATGACCATGAAAATATATTTATAGGAACTCTATTCACATTTTTATCTATAAATTTTATTTCGTAATATTTTTAAGAAACCTATATTATTTATTTATATGCATCTTAAATAAAATATTAAGATAATTATCTTCTTTGGATTTGAATTGTTGGTGATTTTGAAGACTAACATTTGTGTTATTATTTGCGGTTTGTATTTTTCATTAATTTTATTTGAAAATAGGTGTTAAAATATAAAAGAACAATGAGGTAGTTCACGTTTGGGCTTTAACCGGCCCAACCCGAACCCGGGCTACCAAAAACCCGACTCGGACCGAATATGATGGGCTTTGTTCCGGACCTCCGGTCCCTAATTTTCATAACCCGAGACCTTCCGGGTAATTCCGGGTTTAGCAAAAACCCGACCAAGATCGGACCGATCCCACCCCTAGATGATATCATCAAAGTTAAATTGAAGTACGTGATGAGCCACTTTTACAATCTGTTATAGTAAAAAAAGATAGTGGAGAGGCAAACATTATAAATATACTTTTGCATAAGTTCGATCTTGTTATTTATATAAATATACATATGTATACATAGAGAAATGATTCTGTCCAGCAGCCCCCGGTCCGAACAATATCCGAACATGGCCATTTGGGGAATTTCCCGGTGGAATTTTTTGATGAAATTTTTTGAGCATGTTCCTCATCAAGTCTAGTTTGTCCATACCAAATTTCAACTCAAAATTCGTTCGGGAAGGCATTCAAATCATTTTTTGAAGTTGACTGCACCAAAATATACATATAAAAACGCAGTCAACTTCAAAAAATGATTTGAATGCCTTTCCGAACGAATTTTGAGCTGCAATTTGGTATGAACAAACTAGACTTGATGAAGAACATGCTCAAAAAATTTCATCAAAAAATTCCACCGGGAAGTGCCCCAAATGGCCATGTTCGGACACTGTTCGGACCGGGGGCTGCTGGACAGGATCATTCCCCCATATAAATATATAGCACACATAGGAATAATGATATCGTTAATTTCTAGAGGGCAGCAAAACATAGAAATAGGCACGAATAGAAATAGAAGAATCACAGAATATGTATTAGGACGGAAGATATGTTGAAGATGGAGTCTTGTTCTCTGAGTTTCAGAACTGATACCCGACCGGGTCAGATGAAGGACCCGACCGGGTATGTTGAAGCAGAAGACCTGGGAGCTCACTGGACGTGAGACCCGACCGGGTCAGTGAAGGGACCCGACCGGGTCAGCAAGGCAGAAGCCTTCTGTTTTGGAAACCCGACCTGGTTTCCACCGGGTTTGTGTTCTGTGAAGGAGACCCGACCGGGTCAAATAAGAGACCCGACCGGGTCAGGCGACGGGAATTTTAAAAACAGGCTTAATTTTGGGCCTGCGGCTCTAATCTCAGTTTAGGTTTTCCTAAACCTATTTAAACGACTCTTATGTACTTGTAAACCTCTTGGGACGCTGATAATAATACATACTCTCTCTCGTTCGCCGTGGACTAGCACAATCAACCCGATTGTGTGAACCACGTTAATTCTTGTGTTCTTGCTCTTAATTTATCGTTTATCTTTGCCTAATCGTAACAATTGGTATCAGAGCTATGGCTGACGAAGGGAAGGTTAAGATCGATAAATTTGATGGTCAAGATTTCGCTTTCTGGAAAATGCAGATCGAGGATTATCTCTACCAGAAGAAGCTTCATCAACCGTTGTCTGAGAACAAACCAGAAACGATGACGGAGGCGGAATGGAATTTGTTGGATCGACAGGCTCTTGGTGTGGTGAGGTTGTCGTTGGCGAAGAACGTTGCCTACAACATCGTCAACGAGAAGACAACGTTTGGACTGCTCAAGGCGTTATCCAACATGTATGAGAAACCCTCAGCAGCAAACAAGGTTTTCTTGATTAGACAGTTGGTGAATACAAGAATGAAGGAAGGTGCATCCGTGGCAGATCACATCAACGAGTTTAATTCAATCATATCCAGGTTAGGCTCGGTTGAGATTAAATTCGATGATGAAGTCCAAGCATTACTTTTGTTATCATCTTTGCCCGATAGTTGGTCCGGTACAGTCACAGCGGTTAGTAGTTCATCTGGAACCACTAAGCTTACCTTTGAAGGTATTCGTGACTTAATCCTTGGTGAGGATATCCGGAGGAGGAGTTCGGGGGATAGCTCCAATAGTTTATTGAGTACTGAAGATAGGGGCAGAAAATCCACTAGAGGGGGTAACAAGAAAGGAAGATCGAAGTCGAGAAAGAGAGGGCAATCCAAGAACCGGAAGGACATCAATTGTTGGAATTGCAAAGAGAATGGACACTTCAGAAATCAGTGCCCAAAACCCCCTGCAGACAAAGGCAAGAAGGAGGTGAACGTGGCAGAGGATTATGAAGATGTTCTAATTTGCAGCGTTGAGAATTCAGTTGAGTCCTGGATCATGGATTCAGGTGCGTCGTTTCATGCTTGTCATTGCAGGGATTTGATGAAAAATTTCAGGCCCTACAACGGAAGAGTTCGTTTGGCGGATGACAAATCCCTGGAGATCACGGGTATTGGAGATGTTGATCTCAGTACCTCTTTGGGTACAACCTGGAGGCTGAAAGATGTGAGGTATATTCCAGACCTGAAGAAGATGTTGATCTCAGTTGGACAGCTTGATGAGGAAGGCCATAACGTTAGTTTTGGCAACAAGCAATGGAAGGTGACAAAGGGAAAGCTGGTCATTGCTCGTGGGCAGAAGCATGGTACACTGTACATGGTTGAAGTGTCCACAGATGGGGCAAACGCAGCAGTTGAAGATACAGGGGTCTCTACTTTGTGGCACCAAAGACTTGGGCACATAAGTGAGAACGGAATGAAGATGCTGTCTTCAAAGGGCAAAATCCCAGATTTGAAGAATTCAAAGTTGAGCTTTTGTGAGCCATGTGTTCTAGGCAAACAAAAGAGGGTAACCTTTGTGAAGACAGGGCAACAACCCAAGATTGAGCGGCTGGAGTTGATTCATTCAGATGTCTACGGACCGACAAAGGTCTCTTCGATTGGAGGTTCCCGGTACTATGTTACATTCATTGATGACTCTACACGGAAGGTATGGGTTTATTTTCTTAAGAATAAATCCGATGTCTTTAACACTTTTAAGAAGTTCAAAGCTGCTGTTGAGAATGAAACAAATCTCAAGATTAAGTGTTTAAAGAGTGATAATGGGGGTGAGTATAGTAGCACAGAGTTTGTAGAGTATTGTGCTGAACAGGGGATCAGAATGCTGAAGACGGTTCCAGAAACACCACAGCAAAATGGTGTTGCAGAGAGGATGAACAGAACACTGAATGAGAGGGCCAGGAGCATGAGATTGCATGCAGGACTTCCAAAGATGTTCTGGGCCGATGCAGTGAACACAACAGCATACTTGATCAACAGAGGACCCTCATCTCCCATAGGTTTCAAAATTCCAGAAGAGGAATGGAAAGGTCGAGAGGTATCTCTTACTCACTTGAAAGTTTTTGGTTGTATTTCTTATGTCAAAGTTAGAGATGCAGATAGTGACAAGCTCGAGGCAAAGGCAAAGAAGTGTATCTTTATTGGGTACGGGATGGATGACATGGGCTACAGGTTCTGGGACAACCACAGCAAGAAGGTTATCAGAAGTAGAGATGTCACTTTCAACGAGAATGCCCTGTATAAAGATGGTCTTGCAGCAGAAACTAGCAAAGCCAAGCAACCAGAAAACAAGCAACAAGTGGTGTTTGACGGGATGACTGAAGATGACATAGCACAACCTGTTGGTTGTGATGAGACAACAGGAGGTTCAGGGAGCAGTGGGAGCTCAGGAGATACAGGAATGTCTGAAGATAGTGGGAGTGATGAAGATGGTGAAAATTCAGAGGCAGCTA